TATTTAAAAAAAGTTTGGGAGAGTCGTGGCTCCCCCTATTTCTTAAAAGGTCCACTAGGTGTGTTTAGGAATAAATTCAGTTAGATTTAATTGAGATTAAAAAACAGACACACTCAAAAGCTATAATATATATATATATATTTATTTATTTATTGAAAAGTAATATTATATAATATTAAATTTTTTATTTTATATTATACATATTATTTTGTGTAAAATATATATAAAAATATTATATAATTGACAAAATACTTGTTAAGTATTTTTTTTAATTAAATTTAAATAGTATATCACATATGTGTGTGTGCGTTCGTGCATGTGTGTGTCAAATTTTAATGATCTAACCATTAAATTAAAAATTCTCAATGTATACATCATCTACAAATTTTAAAAAATTTAAAAATTATATGATACTTTTTAATGATTTAACCGTTAAATTAAAAGTTCTCAATGTATACATCATCTACAAATTTTTAAAAAATTTAAAAATTATATGATACTTTGTTATCTAGATTTAAATCAACGTATAAAATATTTTTATGATATTATCCATCAATTTGAATTAAAGCAAAAAAATTTAAATTTTTAAAAAATTTACAAACTTGAACTATGCATTAAATTTTTTTAATTTAACTGTTAAATTATTAAAATTTGGTAAACTTACTTTAAAAGTAAATTTTTGTAGACTTATTTCACTTAATAACTTATGTTCTATATCAAATTTTAATGATCCAATTATTGAATAAAAAGTTCTTAATGTATAGATCAAATTTATAATTTTTTTTAAAAGATTTGGAAATTATATAATATTTTGTTATATAAATTTAAATTAATGTATAAAATGTTTTTATAATTCAAATATTCGTGGTCAAGTGGTAGACTCACATCCGCAGGCTATCACTATCCAATTGTCATCAAATGGATTGACATGGTGTTGCACCGGGGTGTATGGTCACCTTGTACCGAGGGTGCGTGACAATCTCTGGGTGCACTTACAGGCATTAAGGAACATTATTTCAGTACCTTGGCTACTGTTGGGTGACTTCAATGACATATTGGAATCGTCAGAGTAGAGAGGGGGGTCCTTCTAGGTCGCACGTGCTTCTGTGTTTGCCCAGTACATATGGACACTTGTGGGTTTATGAATATACCTTTGTTTGGAAGAAAATACACTTGGCATAGGATGCATCATGGATTCGCCTCATTGCATAAACAACTAGATAGAGCCATTAGCAACGTGCATTGGACTAGGGCTTTTCCAGAGGCAGTGGTGGAGGTTCTTACCCGAGCTCATTCAGATCATCATCGCCTTATTCTTCGTAGTAGTGGGGGGTATATGGTCGCGCAAAAAAGACCCTTCCAGTTTGAAGCAGCTTGGTTTTCACATCAAGGTTATGAAGATGTGGTCTTGAATGCTTGGCGACAGTCTTCGGGGAATATTTTGGAATCACTAAAGCACGTGCGGGAAGCCTCACTAGTCTTTAATAAGGAAGTGTTTGGGAACATTGGTCTCCGTAAGAAAATTTTGGGAGCTCGATTGAGAGGGCTTGAAAGATACTTAGAAAAGGTTGATTCACGACGCCATGCTCTACTATATCAGGAGTTATTTCAGGAGTATGAGTTGGTTCTTCAACAGGAAGAAACCCTTTGGTATCAGAAGTCAAGGGAAAAGTGGATAAAATTGGGTAATAAAAATACTGCATTCTTTCACACTCAAACAGTTGTGAGACGGAAGCGAAATAAAATATTAGG